TAATATATAAAGAACTATAAAAAGTAATAATATAGAAATAAACAATGCAACTAACACTTCACCATCAACTATACGTGGCAAATGTTGTTGTTGTTAGGTGCTGTTGAGTCAGCTCCTACTCATTATTCTACATTTTTTGTACCCGACGTACAACAGAATGAACGCTGCCCAGTCCTGCACCATTCTCAAAACTGTTGCTGTGCTTGAGCCCATTGTTGCAGCCACCATGTCAATGCATTCATTGAGGGCAAATAAGAACATGAAAATGGTGCTCAATATCTTTATTAATTAGGTAAAAATAAGTTTCAACTGCAATGAGATACACTTTTTTGGAGGTCTAAAATTTTAAACATTGATTGTATCAAATGTTGGGAGGATGTGAGCAACTGGAATGCTTATGTACTGTTAACAGGGATGTAAAATGGAATAACCACTTTGGAAAAAAAAAAAACTGGCAGTTTCTTAAGAATTTAAATATACACATACTGTAACACCCAGCCCTTCTACTCCTAAATGGAATAAAATAAAATTTCCTAGAGAAATGATATCATATGTCCTTACAAACGCTTGTACATGAACTTTCATAGGAGTTATATTTTTAATATCCAAAAACTGAAATTAATCCAAACATCCATCAACAGTTGAGTGGATAAATATATTTTGATATATGCAAATAATGGATTATTATTCAATTAAAAATTATTGTATGACTTTCAAAATAATTATGCTGACTGAAAAATGCCTAACAGAGTGTACACTATATGAATCCGTTTGTGAATTTTAGAAAATGAAAAGTCTATAATGACAGAGACCAGTGGTGGCTGAAGAACAGGGTGAGGCAGGGTTCCCCAGAAAAAGGTAACTTTTGAGTCAGCTAGATATGTTCATGGGAGCTCTGGTAACATAGTGCCTAAGACACTTGACTGCTAAGCATAAGGCTGGCGGTTCAAACCCACCAACCACTCCTCGGAAGGAAGATGGGGCAATCTACTTCCATAGTGATATTGCCTCAGAAACCCAAGGAGAGGTCACTATGAGTCGGGTCCGACTTGATGGCACATAACAACAACAACCACAACAACAGATATGTTCATTACCCAAACAATTGAAGCATTGAAGTGATGGTTTCATATATATCAAAAAGAAACAACTCACCGCCATTGATTTGATTCAACTCATAGCGACCCCTCCTTGGGTTTATGAGGCAGTATCTCTACGGAAGTAGATTGCCCAGTCTTCCTTCCAAGGAGTAGCTGGTGGGTTTGATTGCCAACCTTCTGGTTAGCAGTCAAATGCCTTAGGCACTACATCATCAGAGCTCACTTTCATGTATATATGATGTCAAAATTTTAGAAGTTGTGTACTTTAAGTACGTACAAGTTACTTTATATCATTTAGAAATCAATAAAGCATACCTATTCTGTTGGCATTAAGAACTCAGATCATTGGGACAGTGAGCAAAGCCTAGGACAGAAAGATATGAGGACCCTACTTGGGGGGCATTAGTGTTCTTGACAATGAGGTAGGTCTTTGTAGACTTCACAGCTGAGGTAGAACTTTGTGGGGCTCTGCACTGCTCAGGGTATGGCTTACTGCAGTCCCTATCTGTCCCCATGTGCCTACAGACAGCCTTGGTGCAGGAGGTGCATCAGAACTTCTCAGCCTGGTGTTCCCAAGTAGTTCGTCTATACCCAGGACAGAGGCACCTGGAGATGGAGTGGACAGTGGGGCCAGTACCACTAGAGTGAGTGGGCAAACACTGGATGACAGGGAGGGCAGGGAAAAGGTGGGGCTTGAGTGGGGTTAAACTTCCTGCCATCTAATCTGGTTCAGGAATGACTTTGGAAAGGAAATCATCAGTCGCTTTGACACGATGCTGGACACACATGGACGTTTCTACACAGACAGCAATGGCCGGGAGATCTTGGAGAGGAGGTGGTGATTGGCAGGGACATTGTAGGGCAGAAGGTGGCCTATGGCATGCCTTAGCCTAAAAAGTGATGGGGGGGGGCTGTGTGTTTGTCATATGATTGTTAAAGGAAGAAGGTGAGAGAGAGTAAGGGGACTAAATTGCAAACCCTGACAGACTTCCTCTTCTTGTTTCCAGGAGGGATTACCGACCCACCTGGAATTTGAACCAGACTGACCCAGTGTCAGGAAACTACTACCCAGTCAACAGCCGCATTTACATCATGGTACCCTCCAGAGTCCCAGCCTGACCTCCACAATGCATCTCACGCTCCCATCTCCCAGACTGGGGATCCTTCATCCTGTGTCCCTCAAGCCTATGTTAATATGTCTGCCTCCTCTGCGTCCTTCCTGTGGGCAAAGGCAGGCATATAGAAATGCTTCTCAACCAGACCCTTTCACCCCCAGGATAGGAATATGCAGCTGACAGTGCTGACCGACCGCTCCCAGGGGGGCAGCAGCCCACATGATGGCTCCTTGGAGCTCATGGTGAGTATCAGAGTCCTAAGCAGGATCCTTCCCGTAAGCCTTTAACCAGAATCCCCCACCTGACCTTAAACTAATTTCCGCTCACATCCCCCCCCCCCACACACACACACACACACTTATTTTTATCTACTCTGGTCATCCCAGCTGGCCTGTGAGCTCTTCCAAGTAAGGGACACGATTCCCTCCCTGATCCATTTACTAGGCTTTGACCACTGTCTCCCATTTAAATATCTGCCAGGTGCACGCCACAGGATGTGGACTGTTAACTAAGATCTTTGGGTCAACTCCTCTGAGATCCCCGTACCCATGCTGTTCCTTTCTCGGTGCGCTCATTATCTATTCCCTGCTCAAAGCCTGCCCAGGATGTGTGACCATTCCAGGCCCCACACCTTAGGTCCCTGTCTCCTCTCTGTTCTCTGTCCTGATCCTTGCTATGGCTCCTATTCCTTCCTGGTTCCCCTACCAGATTTTTACTCTCAGGTCTTTAACTTATCTCTTGGTCTCCCTAACCACTCCCCAGTCCCCCACTCAGGAACCTCCACCAGACCTTCATCTGGTCCAGTTCTCTCCCAGGCTCTCACCTATTCCCTGGCTGATCTGCCACCAGGTGCACCGGAGGCTGGGGTCAGACGATAGAAATGGTTTAAATGAGGCCCTGCTGGAAACTGACTCAAATAGGCAGGGCCTGTGGGTGCGAGGCCGACACCTTGTGCTACTGGACACCCCCCGGGCCGCTGCTGTCAGTCACCGGCTGCTGGCAGAAAAGGAGGTCCTTGCTCCGCAAGTGGTGCTGGCCGCTGCTGACAACGCCCTCTGGAGCCAAAGGGGCATTCCACGAAGAACTGTGAGGGATTCCGGGCAAGAGGGAATGGAGGGGCGGAGGGAGGAGAGCGGAGAAGATCCTAGGCAAGAAAATGATTGGGCGGACAAGTGATAGGGCTGAGGAAGGGGCTGTCCTGCCCATAGTAAGGATGGGTGGAAATGGATGGGATGGAGACGGTTCCTTTCCTGATGAGTCCCTCTCCACCTCTCCTGGTCCCTAAAAGGTCCTGGAATTCGACTTTTTGTCCCGGCTTCGTTCTAGTCCTAGGGGCCCAGACCCACACCTACCTTGATTACTTGAGGTCTCTCCACGCCACTGCGTCTCAGCCCCACCCATTCTGGTTTCTGCGGGGTCACTGTCTCGCCCCCCACGCACACTTTCCCTCCTGCCCAGGATGCGCCCCGCCCATCCAAAAGCTCGGTCTGCTGTATCTTCCCCTACCTTTCTCCCCCACTTCCTGCCCCTGAGCTCGCACTGAGCTCCTGACTCAGCCTCACCACCTGACTGACCTCCCTTCCCATTTGCGGTTCAGCCCAAGCCTGATCTCAGGCCCTCACCCCAGCCCCACGCAGCCAAGCTCAACCCTGCCCCTCCCCACTCTCTGGTGGCGCAATGCGTAAGGCATTTGACTGCTAACCATAAGGTTGGTGGTTCAAACCCACCAGCCATTCCAGGAAGGAAGATGGGGCAATCTACTTCTGTAAAGATTTACCGCCTTGGAAATCCAATGGGGGTCGCTATGAGTCGGAATGCACTCGAAGGCAGTGGGTTTGGACCCCAAAATTCTGATCTGGCCATGCCCCTCTGACTGGGCCCCCCTTGTGATCAGGCCAGCCCCACCTCCTGGGAAGAACCTTACCCCCCACTAGGGAGGCCCGCCCCACCGCAGCTAAGCCGCAGGTCCTTGTCCGCAGTTCTCAGGGCTGCGCCGGGAGCTGCCGCCCGCTGTGCGCCTGCTCACACTCGCCCTCTGGGGCCGCAGGACTCTTCTGCTGCGCTTGGAACACCAGTTTGCTGTCGGGGAGGCCGTGGACGGCAACCTGAGCTCCCCTGTGACCTTGAACTTGAGGGTGAGCAGAGGTAGGAAAGAGAAGAGTTGAGGGTAAAACCCTCTTTGCCGCCACTCAGCCCTATGCATCCACTGCCCGCAGAACCTGTTCTCCACCTTCACTATCACCCGCCTGAAGGAGACCACGCTGGCGGCCAACCAGCCTCAGGATGGCGCCTCTAGGCTCCAGTGGACATCGAACATGGGTAGGGACCAACGGGCATGAGGAGCTTGAGGGTCTGAAGGCAGTGTCCTGGGTGTGGAGGCAGGTGGAGGGTTTGGTTTCCTGCCAGACCCAGGAACAAACTGATATGCTGGGTTGACAGAGCTCCAGAGAAGCTTTGAGGTTGTAAGATTGTGTGCAGGCTTGGGGGAGGTGATCCACTGAGGAGGGAGCACTGGGGTAGATGCCACCTCCATGTCTTCTTCAGAAACTACAGGGCCCGCCCTTCATACCCGTGCCCCCGCCCTGGATCCTGCTGCCATCACACTGCGGCCCATGGAGATCCGCACTTTTCTGGCCTCTGTCAGATGGAAGCATCCTGGGAGTGGCTGGGACTCCTCCTTCAGAGCCGGAGCACCCTCCACCATGGGCTCCAGGAACCACTGCCTCTTCATCCTCCTGCTACTGTTGCAATCCAGAGCCATTAAAATGCCACCCACAAGCCCTAGGTAGGGCAATGGCTAGGAGTTGGTGTTTTCCTTTGGGCGCCAATTTATAACCCAGAAATGGATGGCATCAGCTATTCTGCTGAACCCTGACAAGAAACCACCCTGCTTGGGAGTCGGTGGAATCCTGACACACAGACCCACACTCACCCCCATTCGCACTCAGGTTCTTGCACCCTTGTCCCGTCATCTGCTTCTTCCTCCTCCATCTACTCAGGTGCTAGCAAAGCTGCATTGAGAAGCCACCCAGGTGGTTGACAGGGCTCATCCTGCCTGGTTTGGGAGCAGCCAGGTCCAGATAAGGAGGGGATGAAGATTCAAACACCACGGGAGGGCCCAATGGACAGGTGGCATTTGACGTGAGTCCAAAGCTTTGAATAGGTGAGCATTCCAGGAAGAAAACATGGAGTGGCCTGAGTCCCATGGTGAGATCTGGGGTTGACGTGGAGGCAGGAGAGTTCTGGGTAATCCCACTGGGTAATGCCAAGCTTTGCAGTGAGAAAGAGCTGAATTCATGTCCAGGCTGGTGAGCCTGGGTAGATCCCTTGAGTTCTCAGAACCTCAGCAGCTCCCATGTAACTTGGAAATAAGGCTGTTATGAGAATTAAATTCTTCCCACAAAGTATTTAACAGCAGGCTTTGCATAGTTCAGGCCCTCTACAAAGAGGGGTAGCACTGCTGTTGCTGCTTTTCTTGCTGTATGTAATTATGATACAGTGGGATATGGTGAGTGAGGCTGGGCGGGCAGGGTCAAGCCATGCAAGATGTGAAATGCCTGACTGGGGAACCGAGACTTAAGGGCACTGGGGAGCCATGGAAGATGTGTCAGCAGGGCAGGGGCAGGGGTAGGGGCAGGTCTGTGATGGAAAGATTCCTCTCCATCAGCAGTGATGGGATAAGAATTGAAATTGGGGACCTGTGGGAGGTGCCTGGGGGACATGGTGGGTTCAGTTGTAGTCGTAGGGATGGCAAGAATTAGATGGGCTCAGATCTCCTCCAGGGTAGAGATACTAAGATTTCTTGATGGATGGCAAGTAGGGGGTGAGAGGAAGCATCGACTCACTGTGACTCTGGGTATAGGACTGGATGGGGATGCCACAGAGTCAGATTCGGGCAGAGCAATAAAGGGGGGCGGGGGGGTGCAGTGTGGGAACCAGGAAGTCAGTTTTGTCCTGGCTTTGTCCATGCCATACCCTCTGTCTGTATACTTTTCCCTACTGGGCCTGCCTGAATGACCTTTGAGACCCTTCTCAGAGGCAGAGCCTCTTCCAGGGAAGCTTGTGGAGCTGCCCCAATTTGTATCCAGACATGTCGCTGCTCATCATATTGTCCTACAACCCTGTTTCCCCACTTTGCTTCTCCCTCGCCAGAATATACACCACCAAGATCTGACCCTACATACACAATTTACTACAAATAATATTGCCACAGATAGATCAGAAAGTGTCAGTTACTCCAGATGAAAATGGAGGTTAAATAAATTATTTTTATGAAAAAGACAAGGCTTAGTGGTTTGATAGAGACTGGTGAAATCCCTGAGACTATGGCCCCTAGATCCCCTTTAAGCCTGGAATTGAACTCACTGCCCTGGCTTCCAGCCAAACAGTAGACAGGCTTATGGGATTAACATTTACATCAGGTAGATACACTCCTTAGAAAGATCAGTCAAGGGAGATCAAAAGGGCAGTGTTTGCACAGGGACATAGCTCAACAGGCAGGAATGCATAGGAAAGAAAGCCACCAGGAAGAGGTAACCACAGAAAGGAAGTGGGAAGAGTGCTGTTACATTGTAGGGATTGCAGTCAATGTCATGAAACAAAATGTATTTGAAATGCTGTATGGAAAAATGAATATGCTCTATAAACTTTCACCTAAATAACAATTTAAAAAAAAAATTAAATGAATGGTTTTCTTTAATCTCAAATCTGGTTCCTATAAAGCAGAGAGAAGGTGGCCCAAATGTCCAAATTCTCCAGTCTGCTCTTCCACTCCGTCATCTCTAACACCAACCCCTCTTCTCAGTTCTCTTCCTTTGTCTTTGGGTGGGTAATTCACTGCCGTGTCTCACAGAACTTACTAACTGTGCTTGTAAGTAAGTGGTTTGTTTTTAGAGAAGTAACAGAATCAAGATGAACTTAGAAGTAACAGAAATTACGCCAGCAGCAGTAGGCCCAAGCATCAGTCAGGATGGCTTCCAACCTAGACCACTTTCAGCTCCACCTGCTGCCAGGCTCTGCAGTCACTCAGCCACTTCTCACTGACACTTCTCACCATCTTGTGCAGTTTCTTCCTATTTTCAGTATTACAGTTCCTTCTCTCTTCATGTCTTTCAAAACCTCTGTTGGGTAAACTGCTTAATATAGTAAATTCCTTATCAATTTCAAAGTGTGGCCACCCCCCTAGTGGACCACAAACTAACCAATCTCATAGAGTCACCTAATTTGGATAGTAATTAACCAATCCCAACAAAGATTTTACACACCTTATTTGCATGTTCTTAAATGCCTTTGAGTTGGTTCTGACTCATAGTGACTCTGTGTATGACAGAATGAAATATTGTCCAGCCCTGGGCCAACCCCACAATTGTTGCTATGCCTAAGCCCATCATTGCAGCCACTGTGTCAGTCCATCTCATTGAGGGTCTTCCCCTTCTTTGCTGGCCATCTACTTTACCAAGCATGATATCCTTCTCCAGGAAAGGATCCCTCCTGACAATATGACCAAAATAGCTAAGACAAAGTCTGGCCATTCTCACTTCTAAGGAGTATTCTGGATCTAAGGAGCATTCCAGCTGCACTTCTTCCAGGACAGATTTATTTGTCCTTCTAACAGTCCATGGTATTTTCTGTATTCTATGCCAACACCAAAATTCAAAGCCATCAACTCTTCTTTAGTCTT